CCTCCTCCTCCTTCTTCTTCTTCAACATCCCTCACAGTGAATAATAATACTACTACTTTAGAAACCAAACGAAAATCAAAACGACAACCATAATTTATCTTAGCAGTGATATATGCCTTTATTTTCACCATTTTTCATACGTACATTGATTATGCGACGACTCAACGAGCACGTTTTTTTCTGTTTTGAAGACATGAGCATACAAATATTTCCAAAATCACAATTTCGACGGGCTGTTTTGTTATTTAGAGTGCCCTAAGATGGAACTTGTGTGTTTTCTCAGCCTTTAGTCCGTGAACATAATTTGTTGAACTAATGATATCTCACTTCTTGGTCTAATTAGGGAATAATTTGAAACATCCTAATCTTTTAAAAGCTACAAATGCACAAAAGAACTAAAATCCAAAATAATAATAGATGTAAAACAAAGTGCCAATATTGCTGAGTTTCAAATCTTAATGAGTACCACTGAATTTCCTGTGCACTTTAGCAAACAAATTCCCTCGATTCATAAATATAGCTCAGAATCACAAGCAGGTCTGTCCAAATTCTTTACCCAAACTTACCTTACTTCAGGTCTGCATAATTCTAGCAATAGTGAATAGGGTGATTTTCTTATATTGTCACCAATATTTTGAAACGCAGGGTGTGCTCGTTGGGCATCTGACAAGTCCAAACATACACAAATGAATACATCCATATCTGTTTCCAGATTCCACAACATCTTCACAACTTGTTACTTTGAATAAATATTATGATTTGTGTGCCATCGCGGTGAAATCAGGCGCTCGTTCGAAACAACGAAATTGGAGAAACTGAAATTTTTCTGCACGTTGTCAAATTTTTATCAAATTTTTTATTTTGGGCTCAACATCTTTCCACAGCTTAAGATGTCAACTCATTTTGGAGTCATCTAACATTAGGAAATTCCCCCACGCCGCCATCACGTCGAAACCACCCTCCTTCAATCGCAAATATCTCAATGTCTGGTCGAGATACGAGAGATTAGCATTCTTTTTTTTCAGCAAAAGCAATCAAATTAATAGGCTTAAGATTATACACGGAACACTATGATAGTATGCCCCCTACGAGCGACTGATTTCATCCCGTCATGACACTCGGACAATGACAATATTGTTATACACGTGACGCAGAGGCTGCAGTGCTCACTCTTGCTCGATCAGCAATGTGTAAACGGACCTGACTTCTGCTTTACAATAATATTATTATGATTGGCATGTAACATTGGCATTTACTTTAGCAAACTGTTTAAACACAAGTTGTTGCGAGGTTTGAGTACTAAAACGAAAAAAAAAAAACAAGAAAAAAGAGAAAGAAAAAGAAACCCCAAAGCAACTAACATCTGTGCTCTAAATATTTACGGGCATAGAGTTTGACTATGGTCAATTTTCAAAATAATCGATTTTTGATCTGAGAGAGAAGTTTGTCTAAAGACTATTTTGATACTAGATATCATCAACGAGATTCAAATAATGAGTTGTTTTTTTGTTGTTTTTTTTGGGGGGGGGGGGGGGGTAAAATTCTGTGATTAAGTGTGCAAAGACAATTTTTAAAGACAGTTATTATATAGTTGCCTATATTTATATTGCAGGCACATTTTCAGAAAGCACTCTTTTTTGCAGAGGAACGCAAATCAGAAAGAGAAAGCAAGTGGATGACGCATACTGTGCGTCAGAAACATTGAAGCTGAAGTCTGCTGTTGGTGATAACAGTATAATATAAAGAATAATAATTATTACGCATGACATATAAAGACAAGTGAACTTGCTGAATGATTGTGATTGTACTCATAATGATAAGCATAAAAGCAAAACGACCAGATATAATGTGAAAAACCCCCCGATAATATTATCCCCACAACCACTCCTCATGTAAACGTACCACTTGATTTCACTTCCCTTTATTCAAAAACAAAATAAAACTGTTAACAGTGAAATACATTTATAAATAGATTTCTGTTAAATGTGGTGTCTATTTATTCGACACCCCTCTAAATTAAAACCATTCAATTGGGTTGGCTTAATAGAGTTGATGCTACTTTGGCACAACGGGATTCGATAGGCCAAGAACGAAGGTATATCTTTTTCTGGACTACATTCTTATGATACTAAATGTTAATATAAAAAAGGAACTTTTTCCTGAAAAGTAGATGAAGGGCGGAAATATGGAGAATATCAAAGAAATGTGAAGAAGCTGTTAGCAGAATAAAATCCATTGCATTCCCGTGAATTGTTATTTCTTTTCCTTGAATTGTATTTATTATGGTATGTACTTAAAACCCTTATCAACTCTGCAAGCTATTTTAAGAGGCAGGATAATTGAGCTCAGTACTTAAGAATAATTGAGCCAAGTTGATGGACAGCCCTGACAACTCCCCAAACAACCCAAGTTCAGTAATCCCCAGTTGAAGATTCGAACCAGGGTTATCTGAAACATACTGTCCGGTCTGATATCATCTTTGATTAAGGCAACTCTTGGTATCATATCGTATGAAAGTCAAAGTCTTTCGGGCTTCTAAACCTTATACGATCCTTCAGACGTCATGTGTTGAAGAAGGGTTATCCCCCCTTATAATATTGAACCCCCCCCCCTAAACGGCCCCTTTTCTTGACACATTAAAAAAAAACTTCCATTTCAGCATTTCCCATTATAAAAAACGAACAACAAATACTTTTTATTCTGGAGGAGGCACTCTGAGCTGTAAAATTTTTCGTTTGTGTTTTGTTTGGATGTTGGAAAAGACATAATATTCGTTTCGAAACTTATTGAGCAACTTAATGTCTATCAAGCTGGATACTATTACATCATGTAGAAAAATATTGTTATTATCAATAATATTATTATGACATTCACAAGGACACGATATTTCAGTTGATACGCCGGGTTAGTAAGTATCAGAGAAAAGGGTTACATACTGTTCACCACTGAACCAATAAAAACTGCAATAAAAGAGAATAATATCCTTGATAATGTCTCACTCATAGTATAATAGCACAAAACACCACCATCTCGTTGAACCTTTTTTTTCAAACACGAACATACCACAACGTCTGAAAATATTAATAGGGTACGAGGTAAACTGCTGTCGTATTCTGTGTGACCCTTTGAGTGTAAGGTCAAAGGGCGTGCTCGACAGACAGGCTGTTGACCACCACACAAGGACACTTGCACTTCAACACGACGCTCACCGTCTCGCTTCATGAGATGAGAATTCTCATTTTAGCACCTCTCTCTCTCTCTCTCTCTCTCTCTCTCTCTCTCTCTCTCTCTCTCTCTCTCTCTTCATTCATCCTACTACATATCTTTATCATTTTCAAATCTGTCTAATAGATTAATGTTTTATTGTTTACACTTTTTAAAAGTCTCAAAGGTAAAAATAGAACGCACTAGGACCAGGAAACAGCATTAGTAGAACAACCAAACAAATACACCAGCAAAAGAAAACATAAACGCTGCAGTATTTTCTCTCTGATTCAGAATAACGAGGCTATCTCACTCTCACTTCAGAAATCCAACAACTACGCTCTTTTAGTCTAGAGGGTTACAAGGTGAAACACTTGACAACATTCACTGTACGCATTGAAAAACATTATGTCAAGTGAGTTCAGAATGTGACAGAAGTACTTAATAATATACATTTTATGACAACATATCACTCGTTCTTACATCACAGTAACATAATAATATTTAAATCACAATCTGAAAGAACTGTTCTAACATTACCCATTGCTCTGCTCTGTACTCTTTATGTGAGCTAAACACACTACTAGACATACATTTTGTTTTTAATGCAAAGGGGCGGGATTATTATGAACATGCGTCTAATCTAAGAGTAGAGGTATTTGATAAAAAGGCAGGTCAAATAGAAAAGTACTTCTGTTCCAATCTTTCACACCTCCTGAAAATTAAAAAATGCACCCGCTTTCACACTAGGTGTGATGTGACCAATAAGCAGCTTTAAGAACAATCTAACAAAAAATCTACAGTGAGCTTAGAAAAAACCATCACCAGCAACAACCACTGAAAGTAATTTTGAAAACGTTTTTGTTTCGACTGTAGTTATAACAATAACAACGAATTGAAACAACAACAACAGCAACAACAACAACAACAGCAACAACAACAACATAATAACAACAACACCAGTGATAGTCTAATGCACTCACCTCCCTAACTCTAACATCTCTACTCTAATATTTTAAACTATATCAGCAAATCAGTAAGGGAAGGACAAAACATCAATAACAGCAGTAACAACAGTCAATTAAAAACAGTGTGATTTACAATTGTCCCTCAGCATGGTTTAAACCAAAAAAAAGAAAGAAAAAAGAACTAAAGAACTTACTCTAGCACGTAATACATAGCACAAACCTAGTAGAAATATCTGAGAGAATATGAAGGCAAGTCATGGAGGTTTGTGGCATCGTGGATTAGTTGCCAAATTGTAGAGTATGGGAGGTAAATGAGGAATAAGAATAGTTTGTGTCAATGATAAATAATATAACACACCTGTTATCTCCCATCCCATGTCACCAAAAGTGAACCAGATAGACATCCTATCCAAATTTCGTGTCTGCTTTTAAGATAAATACAAAATAATGATTCTGGAATTCACACGAGACAACTGCCTTTTTGGATTTCCTTCAATAAGCTGATAAAATAATACTTCGCAATGGTACAACTACATGTAAAAAAGAAAAATTGGAGAAAAAACCCCAGGTTTCCGGTAATGCCTTGTTTGCAATAGATGAAGGATTGTACGTTGTAAGATGGTAAGCGCATTTGGAATTCTAGTACGAAGAGTAAGTGATCATGTTTTCAGAAATGTGCAAAATATCATGAGCATTTTGCAAAAATAGCATCTCGTTTGATCAGCCGACAGAGCTTCCCTATCGATAGAAATCCAGATACGAATTTACTGCAATTAGAGGCCGCCCTCTTCTGTAGAATATTACCTCAACAGTTTCTTCTTATTTATATGTGAAGGGATTGTCGCACTCCATCAGCTTCACTTTCACCTTCATCTATTCGGTAGACGGGTTGTCCGACGGGGTGCTTTTGAAGAATTGGTCACCAGCTTCCTCCACTCCTTCCGGTCCTCAACTTTCCTGAGCGTGTCTTTGAGTTCCAGGCCTGTCCGTTCCTTGATGTTGTCCTCCCAACTCTTCTTCGGTCTGCCTCTGCTCGTTTTTCCCTGGACGCTGCCTTGCATGCAGGATCATTTTGGCAAGGCCGAGTGAACGGATGATGTGTCCATACATTGTCGCACAAGAATTGAAATGAGGGCGGAATACTATAATAATTATGTTAAATCCCTCTATGATAGGCAAGGAACATGTGCCAGGCTTTGTTAAAAGCCAGAACACTGCTATTCCAACAGAGACTGTTTAGGACGTTTCAGTTGTGCCCGGCGACAAATATAAAGGTTGTAAATGTAAAAAGGCCGACCTTACCCCCATACCTACTCTCAAAACATAGACACAGACAACGCACTCACTCACACACACGCACACACACACATACACACACACACACACACATGCACACACACACACACACACACACACACACACACGCACACACGCACAAACACACATGCACACGCACAAAAATACGTTAAATCAAATTATTTCAAATCCACGGCGGAAAGATATGGTGTTCTCTTTAAGTTATAATATTGAAGTAATAAACATCCCGTTGGGTTCTATCTCCCGTCGAAATCCCCCCTCCTCTTTGAGGTGCTTCTTTCAGGAAAAATATTTTGAACATTAACAAAACGAAAAACTGTGCATTTACGTAGTGTGTAGACTCAATCCTGAAATCCCTAGTAAATATTTCAAGTAAATAGATTGTCTGTAAGAAACGTTCTTTGGTAAATGCCATTATGTCACTAATCTCAATCTAGTACAGGGTGAGAAATTCAAATTGGTCCATATTTAAAAAACTAATACAAGTGTATAGTAACGGTATAAGAAAAAGAGAAATTAATGAACCATGCCATAAAAAAAAAATATCCCTATTGCCATAACGCAATTGTCCGTTTTTATTTAAGTTAAAAAAAAGGTAAAACGAATTTTAAAAACATTGTTTAAAAAAATTAGTAAACTTACTGTTGGTATTGGCGGGTGTTTGAGTAATGTTTTATCATCTTACAGATGTATTTTTTTCCCATCAATTATCAACCAACTTTCTCCTTGCCTGCTTTTTAAAGTATCATTTATTAGTCAAAATTTGCAGGATTCTGAATTAAAAAAAAATGTAATAAACGACATCGGAACAATGACAATTGCCACTGTGAAACCAATCAGCACTCCGCATTAATCTCAAAGTGAAGAAATAGGTAACAAGTAGCCTATAGAGAGCGGACAGCATGCTTGGACAGTTTTCTCTTTTAAAATAAGCAGTCCAAGAAATTAAGTAAGTAAAAGAAATGATTAATTCAATATTTAAATGGACATCTCCTTGGAAACGAAACGTTCTTTTTTTCGTTTACATTAAACGCTGAACAGCAGCTAAGAGCATGCAGAAGGTCAAAGACACGGCACTGTAGGTCACACGTTCGCCGTAGCCAATTAAGAAGGTGGCAACGATTCTGCGGTTGTTTCTGTTCATCGTTGGTCTGTAGTTGTTGACCATCTTCGTGTAAGTCCCAGCAGCGTTCTTGTCAGCAGATAGCAGGGCTCGGAACTTGGCCAGCTGCGGACAAGGGATCAGAAGTAGTTGGATGAACTTAAGGCTTGCCGCACATAGATAGATAGATAGATAGATAGATAGATAGATAGATAGATAGATAGATAGATAGATCGATAGACAGATAGATAGATAGCTGGGCAGATAGATAGATAGTCAGATAGCTAGGTAACTAGCTATGTAGTTGGATATATGCCCAACTGCTTTTTGATTTAAACTGTGTCAATGGGAAAATAAAGCATACTATAGATAATCATCTGTTTTATACATCTAAAATTACCTCACCGTTTCGGTAGAAAGTCAAACCCTGCACTAAAAATACCATTATCGTGTCAATGTACAGCGAACACAGGTCTTCTGTACGTTTGGTCATTTCATTTTTTTCTTTTAAAGTATGTGTTTTTACACCCCAATCGACAAAGTTTAGCTCATTTAGGAGGCTGGCTTTCCGACCCTGCCTGCCAGGGCCAACCCAGGCTGAGAGGGATGCATCATCCCATCAGTAATATTGAAATAATCAATAAGTGCCAAAACGTATTTAAAAACCTTTCTCCCCACTTGAGGATCGGACTCGGGTCTCCTGTGTGTGACAGAGAAGCGACTAGGGATACTCCATAAACTTCGGTGTCATAATAATATTTTACCTGTGCCTCTGAGATGGGAATGGATTTTCTGAAGACAGTCCATGTCACAGACTCGTAGCAGCCTGGGGTGGTCAAGCTTCCGCTGTAGCGGTAGAACTCAGTGATGTCAGCAGGCAGAAAGGTATCCAGTCTGACAGTGTCCATGGAAGTACTCGTCTCTGAGAGTGGGAAAATGTCATCGCTATGAATATATGTCGGTTATCTTTGTTTTTGATTTGATACAAAATGCTATTAATAATGAATTCTTAGTGTTTGCGTACTGTACATTATCCCCGCTCGACAGCAAGCTCAAGGCGCATCATCATCATCGTACATCGTTAGCGTCATAGTTATCATCATCACCTTGTTGGGCGCTACTCAGTTGCGACCGGGTGTGTTCACTTCTCATATAACCTTAGAGCATGCACCAGAATACCATTCTGTTACTATCAGAATACTGAATATGTATCTAGCTTAACATTATTGTTGCTTATATTACTGTTGATTTATATTTTGTTTGGGACTGTGAGCCTGTTTGTGAGTGCAAGCATACTGCGTATTTGTGTGCATGTTTGTGTGTGTGGAGGGGGGAGGTGAGTGTGTGCGTGTGTGTGCGTATGTGTATACGTGTTGAAACACCAAACCAATATGCCAGGATCAGGACAATAAAGATGTATCTTATCTTATCTTATCGTATGTTATCATCATCATCATCATCATCATCATCATCATCATCATCATCATCATCATCATCTTCTCCTTCTTCTCTCCCATCACTCCCCTGTGATCATCATCTAATCAGCTATTATTTCACTTACTGGGATCTGAGATGTCGGTAAGTTTTGAAATGATTGGGTCAAGAGCAGGATTGTCTTCTTTGGAGATCTGTAAAAAGAAAGAATCCATTATTATTGATAAATACAAATTTTCTTCTTCTTCTTCTTCTTCTTCTTCTTCTTCTTCTTCTTCTTCTTCTTCTTCTTCTTCTTCTTCTTCTTCTTCTTCTTCATGATGGTGATGATGATGATCATTATCATTGTTGTTATTATCATTATAATTATCATCATTATTATTATTAGTAGTAGTAGTAGTAGTGGTAGTAGTAGTAGTAGTAGTAGTAGTAGTAGTAGTAGTAGTAGTAGTAGTAGTAGTAGTAGTAGTAGTAGTAGTAGTAGTAGTAGTAAAATATTATCCGTCTGTAGGCCCTACATAATGAAAGTAATAAATTATATTTATGAACGCCAATGCTATTTGTGGCCGAGCGATGAGGGAGTCTACAGCTGCCCTCATGATAGTCCAGGCAGTGACATGTCCAATTTGTGTACTTTGTTTATTCGCAATATTTGGTGTGTTGCTCATTTGCAATAATGGTGAACTGTGCTTATTTGTAGTACTTGTGTGCTTTGATTATTCTCGAAGTTTTTGTACTTAGCTTTTCCCCAAGAGGTTGCAAAAGAGGCAGTTGGCTATAGAAAGAAAGGTTGACAAGCACTGATCAATAGAATATGTCGATACTAAAAACAAAGAAACAAACAAAATTGGAAAACAAAAAAATAATTAGTATCGAGCAACTCACAGGAGCTACGTGAGAATTATAAAGTTCTATCTGACATTTTTGGCCCTTTTGTGTAACATTGAGGTCAGAAAGCAAATCTTATATTCTACTTGCTCTATCAAAATCGTAAGATTCTTCGGAGTCGTTATCACAATTTCTCAAAACTCGGTACTGAGCAGATTGAACTTTGTAATTTTAAGGTAGCATGCTATATAGTTACGTTTTTTGAGAAACATCGTGGGGAATTCAGGTGCTCGTCAAAATAATGAAATCGATGAAACCTGCCTTTTCCTGACCATTTGGCATAATTTGTTTTTACCGAATACAATGTTTGTTTTTGGCTCAGCACCTTCTTTGTCCATTTAAAAATATATTTCTTTGAGGATTTTACTAAAAAATATCAATCAATCAAAGGCCAACACAATGTACATTTGCAGATTCCATGAAGTCTCAAGCTATGAAAGTCACCAAAATTTGGTGATCACTTTCACGCTTGTTTAACCTCTGAAACCAGGCGACTCCCCCACCCCCCTTTTCCTCCTATTGCTATAATCTAGATTTCTATTCAAGTTGGAATGGTACTTTTAAACAAATCAAAAGCAAAGCAAATGAACAGACTTTAAAATAAAACCAATAACTTCGAATGCCGAAAAAGAGACGAGCGTCTGATTCCACAAAGTCTTGACACATTCTATTGTTACCTCAAACATGGTTCCAAGCACTGCTAATCCGTCAGATTGTGCCACGGCATCAGTTAGAGTGGGATATTGTATGTGGTGGTGCACGATGTGTACCTGGAAATTACGGGTATTAAAGAATAGGTTCAGTTTATTGTACAAAGCGTACCACACAAAACTAGTACAATTATGTATTGAATCCGTGCATCTAAATGTCCTATTGTTAGCATCATTTTGAGTAAAACAATAGGTCAATGTTACTTGACATGAGAACAACTGATCAGAGAAACAGATCTGACTAGACAGCAACAGATCTGACTAGAGAGCAATAGATCTGACTAGAGATCAATAGATCTGACTAGAGATCAATAGATCTGAATAGAGCGCAATCGATCTAAAAAAAAGAGCAAAACCAGATTTCACAAAAGAGCAATAGATCTGAAAAGAAAGCAACATATATGACTAAAGAGCAATAACAAATAGATCTCAGTAGTGACCAATATATCTGACTAAGAAGCAATAGAGCTGACTTGAGAGCAATAGATCTGACGAGAAAGCAATAGATCAGAGACACAGATCTGACTAGAGCTCTGTCTAGAGAGCAATAACGTAAAAGCCTTACAGATCTGACTAGAGAGCAAGAGATCTGACTAGAAAGCAATGATCGTAACAGAGAGCAGCAGAGTCAGAGCAATAAATCTGAGAAATAGATAGGACCTTGAAAAAATTAGAGCTGACTGACCTCCATCGGGTAAGCAGCAGAGTCAATGAGATGCTCGGATCCCTTTGTGCTATCGGAGCCCCAGTGGAAATGGAACTGCGCTGCCTTGAACTCTCCTGGGAGCCCACCACCTGACATTCTGATATCTCCAGCAGTGATATCTACTTGCACTGAAAACAGAAATCAACAACAAAAATTATTTATTGATTTATTGATTTATGTACTTATTTATTTATGTATTTATTTATTTATTTATTTACACCCATTTAGTTTATTTTCTTCTTACTTTCTAATGCAAACATGGATTTTCTTTTACAGATAATTCACATCTTTTATAACATTACGGTGTTGTTCTTTTCTGGTTGTTATAATTGTTGTTGTTGTTGTTGTTGTTGTTGTTGTTGTTGTTGTTGTTGTTCTTCTTCTTCTTCTTCTTCTCCTCCTCCTCCTCCTCCTCCTCCTCCTCCTCCTCCTCCTCCTCCTCCTCCTCCTCCTCCTCCTCCTCCTCCTCCTCCTCCTCCTCCTCCTCTTCCTTCTTCTTCTTCTTCTTCTTCTTCTTCTTCTTCTTCTTCTTCTTCTTCTTCTTCTTCTTCTTCTTCTTCTTCTTCTTCTTCTGTCACTAACAATAAGCACGACTCAGTTTATTTCATAGTGTGTATGTTGCTGCATGACTTTCGACGTTTTAGATGAAGAAAACAAAATTCAATATTATCTATTTGAATAATGAAGTTATGTACCTCGGAGCAGCGCATTGTTAAACGTTGTTGAATAACTAGAATTCTCGCCATCAGTGGGCTAAATCTATACTATTGGGGTGTGTGGCGCGTGCTCTAACGTAGCTAGCCTTTTCTTTCCTATCAAAGAGCGATCGTCCTTATCTTTCTTTATCTGTCCTTCGTTTTTGTCTTTTTTACGCTCTCGTAACACCTCTAATCATCGGTACTTATGCGATCTTATCGCGTTGCAAGTGCTATAAAGCTCTTACTAAAACTAAAGTATATTCATTCGTAGAATTTCCCAGAGTTCCTTCCTTCATAAATTTACCTGTGTGTCCATTGTTCTTCAATTGCATGTTCACTCCCTGTGCGCTGTCGTACCCGCTCATAGTGAAGGTGTTGATGGACTTGTCCAGGTAAACAGTCGTAGGGTCAATGTCAATTGGGGACTGCTTGCTTCCGGCGTCATCCACGCAGTGCCCGTAGTATTCGCTCCATTTGCTGGCGGACCCCGCGTTGGCAACTGTCGAATCACATGAAATACAATATGTACATACTATGCATTATGCAGAGTTGTGATTTACATTTGCTCCTCTTCCCTGACCACTCTCTCTCTCTCTCTTTCTCTCTCTCTCTCTCTCGCTCTCTCGCTCTCCCTCTCTCCCTCCCTCGCTCTCTCTCCCCCCTCTCTCTCTGTGTGTCTGTGTCTGTGTCTCTATCTCTATCCCTCTCTCCTTCTCTCTGTCTCTCTCTGTCTCTCTCTGTCTCTCTCTCTGTCTCTGTCTCTCTCTGTCTTTCTCTGTCTCTCTCTGTCTGTCTGTCTGTCTGTCTGTCTCTCTCTCTCTCTCTCTCTCTCTCTCTCTCTCTCTCTCTCTCTCTCTCTCTCTCTCTCTCTCTCTCCCTCTTAGAACATAATATGATTGAAATAATATTTCGTCGTCAGCCAGTTGTTCAGATGTACCAAATCCAACATTTTCAAGCAAAAGATAGGGTTGAAGTTTCTTATTCCCCGTGATATAGGCTGCATGTGCATGAGAAATATTTTGTAAAAAATTCAAATGATAAATTTTGAGTAAAGGAAGGAAAGGAAGAAGAAGAAGAAGAAGAAGAAGAAGAAGAAGAAGAAGAAGAAGAAGAAGAAGAAGAAGAAGAAGAAGAAGAAGAAGAAGAAGAAGAAGAAGAAGAAGAAGAAGAAGAAGAAAAACATCAATAACAACGTACCGTTGGAAGCGTAGCCCCATGTAATACCTGAAACAAGGGAAAAGAATAAACCACAGACATTTGTAATAAAAAGTCTTTCAAAAAAAAAAAAGACTTGAGTTGTTTTTCATTGTAAATAATAAATAAAATACAAAAAAATAAACCCCAGCTGTACAACCTTTTTTGTTAATATTTTTCTCCACACTGAAGTTTTGCGTTTCAAATGTGTACTGAACATTCAGAATTCAAAAGGAATTTGTCTGACATTCATTTCAGATAAATCCACAGAACAGTTTTGCAGCTATATCCCCATGTTTGTAGCATGATGCACTAGTTCGCATAAGGCCTACGACTAAAAATCCCAACGATTGTACCATCTTGCATACTGTGGTAATCTAAGAAGCCAACAGAAGTTTGCATATAGTTTTCTCAAGTTTCCTTTGCCTGCTTAGATCATGATTAAGATTAAATAAGAAGCTTTTTGTTGTGAACGTTTCCTCACCACCAACTCATTTCGTAAGTTTCGCACACGGTACGGAAATACTGTTCTAGTGCCCTTAACGCTTTCTTTGATCTCAAGGGTGAAAATGGTCCATTAATTAGGACCTGTAGAGAATCAGGACTAAAACTTCCCAGACAAAACAACGCCTTCAGGTCAAACACACACCGCTCGCATCCATTTAAACGTCATCAGTTGTGCAGAACTCAGTAGATGAGCCCCATGAGACGTCTGTCCCTAGACGATGTCTGCAGCAATGATTTTCCTACATTTCAACGGTCTGCATTCTCAAGGCAGAGAGGCGAGAAATTAATCTCATCCAGTGTAGCCAGCAAGGACAAATGACCAGATGGGAAGAGAAAAGTCGGTTGGAGTGCCACCTGGAAGTGGAACACATCTAGGATAAGCTTTTTTCTTCGGTCTACATATGATGTTTTGCCTTCGCCGGTGAACCTTGTCAGATGGAAGGTACAGGAGGACAAGTGTAGATGCGGTAAGCTAGGAACCATGAAGCATATTTTGTCAAACTGCAACCTGGCTCTTAACAGATACACCTGGAGGCACAATGTGGTGCTGAAAGTGCTCACCACAATGGCGACAAAACAGGTGAAAGAAGGAAGATACGCCCCCAAACTACAGAAGCATGGACTCACCAAGATTGCGTTCGTTCCGCGAGGAAGCAAGGTTACCAACAGAAAGAAAGCAAACGAAGCCATGGAAGACCAGAGCGGAGGCACACGGGAGGTAGCCGCTGACTTAAAGGGCTTAGAGAGATTCGTTCCCATCCCAATAACGAAAAAGCCAGACTTGGTGTTATGGGAGGAAAAAGATAAAGAGGTGCACTTGGAAGAGCTCACGGTGCCCCACGAGGACAATATCTACGTCGCACATGAGCGGAAAGAGAACCGTTACGAGGCACTTGTCAAACATTGTGAGTAGATAGCCCATTTTCCGGTAGAGGAAGGATAAAGAGGTTTCGTAGCAACAAGCGCCCGTAAGTGGATGAGACTTGAGAGTGGCAGGACTTACTGCAAAGAAAAGCAACGAACTCACAAACTCCCTTCAGTAGACAGCAGAAAAAGCCAGTCACTGGATCTGGTTGGAGTAGGAGCACGCAGGCTGGAATGAATCCTAAGAGTTGGCAGCAGAGGAAAACAGTCGAACTAAGATGAGACCTCACATCGGTGAGGGGGCTCGGTGCTTCAGAAAAGCTGTAGAGAGGAAGAGCCCTGATGATCTCCATGCTAGAGTCCGGGATACGGAGCGTTCGGCTGTGAGCAGTGCATACGGCTGTTTAGACTACGTCTACGACAGTACCTTTTTTCCGTTCGCAAAGCTATCAGAGGATAGCAATGTGTTCAAGATTCCTCGATGGTCATGAAAAGCCTGAACATTTCCTCTATGACATTTGGGCAAAGCCCTTATTCACCTTTCAGGTTGTATCAATTCCACAAATACTATCTATTTGAGCAACTTCACCTCCCCCCGTATTGTTTCTAGAAACAGCTCTATACTGTAAGGTGTACAATCTGTGTGTGTTTGAGTGAATCCTTGTATTTGGCCACCACTGAACATTACGAACGACGCGTTAAAATGTGTCTAGTCCACAGGAGGACATATTAACCATTGGTTCTCGGAATTCCAAATTTAAAACTCTGTAGGAGAAAAGAAACATTGTTTAAAGGTTACAGAGCTGAAAGATCATTTTTCAGAAATAAAAGGAAAAGAAAAAACAAACCAATCAGTTCATGACTTTCTTACAGGATCTTTGAAATTGGTGCATTTTGCGTTTATGGGTGGTTTTTGTAAAAGCTCGCCTATTCCGTTTTCGAAAATAAGTTTTTTCTTTGTGAATTTTAGGTCAAACAAATTCCTTTTGAATGAATTATATCAGTTCCAAATTACAACATTATAGTACAAATTTTGTGCAAGATATTTAGAAAAAAAAGTTGTACAGGTTTAAAAAAAATCACTCTGTAAATTACAATCTTATGGATTCCAGAGGGGCAATTTGGTTTACAATGGTAAGCATACATACATACATACATACATACATACATACATACATACATACATACATACATACATACATACATACATACATACATACATGCATACATACATACATGCATACATACATACATACATACATACATACATACATTCCTAACCAAACAATGTTCCACCAATAAGGAACAATAATTTCACAGCCATGCTATTGTTGGTCGCCACTGTGCCGGTCAGTGTAAGGACTTACAGGATCTCTTAGACACGCTCGAGACCTGGAACTTGTAACAGCAATACAGGGAGGATTTAATGGGATGTATCGAAATCTACGAAGCCCTATCTCTGATAATAACTGGTCAGAAGCTGTCAGAAAAAATACAGGATCTGTGGCGTTGATAGTCTAGTGGTTAGGCTACCGGACTCGTAATCGTAAGGTTGCAGGTTCGGGAGTTCGAGCCTCAGGCCGACGTCTCGTCCTTTGGAAAGACATTCTACTCGAATTTTCCTCACTTCACCCAGGTGGATATCGGTACCCGGCCACAGACAGCGAATGGTCTTCTCAGTATGCAAGTGTTTTAGCTCTTACAAAATGGAAACTTACACTGTATGCTTCCCATGACGTTGAGATGATTTGTTTGTTTGTTTTAGTAGAGTTTTTACTGCGTTCACAACTGCACAAGGTCATATGAGTGCAAATGAGATTGTTTTAGACTGCTATCAAGTCTGCTGTTGTAGTATTATGGGTTGTAAAGCGCATAGATCTTGCTGTAGAGCGGGGATTTCCGCTATATAAATGCTATTTGTTATTATTATTATCTATGTCACTCTGTAAAATATTTGGCTGGCTGGATTTTGATTCGAGTTATAGCCTTAACGATTAACACAAACTCGTTGAATGCCATGCCTAAGGTCAACTTTCCTTTTGTTTGGTTTGCTTTCCTTTGTTTTTCTTTTTCTTCTACCGACCCTCAAGGGGAATGAAACTTTATTTTTCTGACCTCTTAAATTTCGTTTAGATAAATCTTTCTATCTTATCAAACATTTTTTGTTCTTATTTCGCCCCTTCCCCACAGCTTTCTTTTTGTATTGGCTACTCTCTTGTAACCCATCTAGTCTTTAGCACTTCTATGACCTTACTGTGTTGCAAGTGCTGTAAAACTTCCACTAAAACAATAACTAAGGGAGATTTCGGAGTCAAAATGTTTAAGATCAATTCGTATCCTACTCACACATCTCAACTATTCAATAACTTATAATCACAAAAGTTCTATCTGCTCAGTAACTAGTTTTGAGCTTTAAAAATTGATTTTCAAATTACGTCAAGCTTTGTCGAACATCTTCCCCCC